GGCTGCAAACACCAGACCCAGCAGCGCCCCACGGCCACAGGTGGGTCACAGTAGCCACAAAAGGGCTCAACAGAGCCTCAAGGTCCAGGACAGACTGGCCAGTGCAGGCTCGAGGCAGGAGAATGGAGATATTGGATGCATTTCCCAGCAATTCACTCTGCCCCTGAAGTGTCACCCCAGAGACAGAGACACAGCCACCCACGGGGCAGGCAGATGGCCTGGGCACTGTCAGCTGGAACTGACTCCCAGACGCTTAGGCACATCACATCCCCTCACGGAGCCCCAGTTTCTCCAAACAGGTAGTTCGGAATTTCTCAAAGGGAGCTGACACGTGATTTTAAAGAGTATCCTCCCAAATATTTCTCTTCCCAAAGCTATTTATGTCCCTATGTATTGGGAAACTATGTATACAACTAGCAAACCAAACCCTGAGTTTCGGATCCTATTGCTTAGATCGTAAGCACTAAAGCTTAAAAAGCAAGTTGATTTAAATAAAAACATTAAGCAAATGATAAAACTGATGGTACAAGGACACGACATAAATCACATTGTGAGATTCTGCTGACTCGTATTTCTTGACAGAAGAATAATAACTCCTCTTATGTCTTGCCTCCTGTTATCTTGTATCTTTTCATGACATCCTCACTCATGCAAGTAGACATGCAGCTAAGGAAAGATGCTCAAGGCAGAGAGACCAGCAGGTGCCAAGGCCCTGGGGCAGGAACAAAGCTGGTTCCTACCTCAAGGCTTCAGGGGCTTTGCACTTGCCCAAACTGCCCCCTTGAGGTACAGCGAGAAAAACACCTCTGAGCACAGCAGTTTGGCCGCGCGAGACTGGGGTGGAGGGTCTGGAGCCCACCAGCCTGGCCCATCCCTTCCCGATGGCAGTTCTTCATTGTGGGAAACTGTGCTGCGGGGGCAGGGGTCCCCTGTGTTATCTGTGTGTCCCAGTGCCCAGCCCCCGTCTGGCAGAAGAGAGGACTCCGTGGATGTCACTGAATAAACAAAGGAGGGGCTCTGCTGACCTGTGACCACCCGGGGAGCAGAGGGGCAGCCACGTTCAGAGGAGGTCAGAGAACAGGGCCAGGAGAAGCCGGCCAGGGTCGCGGGGCCCTCCAGTCCTAGAGGGGCAGCCCAGAGGCTGCCATGGGGCAGCACTGGGAGGCCGAGGGCAGTGAGGTGCCTGCACTGAGGGGGACAGAGGGAGGAGGGAGGGAGGGAAGGAGGGAAAAGGGGCCCCAGGGTGAGGTCTGGGCAAAGGTGCTGCGTTATCGCCCAGTGGGAAGAGCCACGGCCCCGGCTAGGGTCCCCGCGGATCTGTCTCCTCGGCTGCCAGGGCCTCTGGGCCCACGGGCTGGTTCGGCTCGGGGCAAACTCCACAGCCGGGTGCGAGCAGAGCAGACTTCTCGCCAAGCCTGGGCCCCAGCTCTCCCCGTGGGTCCCCACCGCCCCACCCAGGCCACCCGCCCACGCTTGCCACTACTACCTCCTGGGAAATTGCCAGGCGAGGCTTTAGGGTGCCAGCTGGGCCTCCCACGGCCGATGGAGCCGAGCAGACCCCTGGCGGGGCCGTTGGGGGCCTCCCACCCACCCCTGCCCCCCAATCCTCCAGGACGAGCCTAGATCGTCAACATGTTCTCAGGGCAGCGCGAGGCCAGGCCCTGCTTCCGGGAGCTCCCGGTACCGGGACCGCGCGGCCCGGGCTCCAGCGCGCACCGCCTCTCCGCTCCGGCCACGGGCCACCTTCCCACCGCCGACACGCCTGTCCCTGCTCCCATCGTAGAGAGCCGTCTGATTGGCTCAGATCTGTCTGGTGCCCTATTGGACAGAGCGCTGAGGGCCAGCCCCCTGGGCAGAGATCCAACCTATGGCTGCCCAGCACCCGGGTCAGGTGACCGCCCTCATCCAATCAGAGGCCTCCCCTGGCTTGGGGCTTCCTGGAGACCCGCGCAGGGGCAGGCGGGGGCCTGGGCGGCGCGCGGAGCTGGGCTTTGTGCGAGTTGTGGGGGTTTTTGTCGCTGCGACGCGTCTGGCAGCGGTCGGGGGTGGGCGCAGAGCTCAGGGGAGCGTGTGGGACGCCTGTCCGTTCCGCGGCTCAGTTGCAGAGCTTTCCTGGGGCTTGGCGAGCACAGCCTCCTGTCCAGCCCCTGCCGCCCGCGCATCGCCACCCCCCCCGCGCCCGCCGCTGTCCCCACACCCGTGCGGTGTCTTCATTCCGCGAGCGGGCAGCGAGCCCCTGTAGTGCCAGGCGCTGCCGGGGAAGGACCCCTACCCCACGGACGGGCGTCCCACGGGGGATGTCGCTCACACCCACGTGTGGCCACGGCGCCTTCCCGTTCTGACGCCTTCAGCGGCTCGCCGTCACCCTCGGAAGAGGCTAGACCTTGCGGGTGGGGTCGGCCTGTCCGCGGGGGTCCGTCGGATACGGTCTCTTCCCTGGCAGAAGGGATTTTGCAGAGGTGATTAAGCTAGGGACCTGGTCGTGGATTATCTGTCATCGTGAGGGGCCTTTCAGTGTAGAAGGAGGAGTCGCGGAGCCTCTAGAAGCTAGAAGAGGCAAGGAAACACCCTCCCCCCACCTCCCAGGCCTCTAGAGGGAACACAGCCCCGTCTGTGTGGACTTCTGACCTCCAGAGCTGTAAGGTAATAAAGTGGTGGTGTTTCAAGCCACTACACCTGTGGTGATTTGCTGTTCTGGCAGCAACAGGAAACCGGTACCTCCCTACCCCTGCCCGGAGTCCCCCGAGGCCTCCCTTCCTTCCAGGCTCGAAGGAGCCCCTCCCCTCCCCCCCCCCGCCCTGAGCTCCCCCCCACCCGCCCTGTCCTCCCCCCCACTTGTGGCCTCCACTCCTGTTTCCC